GGGGGGGGCTTCCCTCTGGTGTGACACTCTGATGGTCTCACTGCGCTGCGCTGCCCGACCCGGCTCGACCCCGGCCCAGGCCCAGGCGAGCACACCGCGCAAGACCGCAGCACTCAAACCCCAATGCAGCAGAGTGCAACAGGTGATTGTTTTTATCGAGTTTATTCAGACTCCTCCCGACGCATACGCTATGATGTGCGGCGCGCAACGAAAAAAACTACGAAAAGCAAAAACAAAAATAAAACGGTTTGCTACGGATGGTTCTGCGTCGTGCGGATGCCGTTTGTTTTCGTCACGAGCCCAAAATACATGCGACACCAGCCATCACGACAACGAGGAGCACAACACCACAGCTCGGCTCGCGGTGCTGCCTGGCGTGGCGCGGCGTGGCACTAGAGGCGGGGTGGTGGACGGACAGGATGGCCACGTGTAGCGAGAGAGATAGAGAGAGAAACCTCGGCCACAAACAGCTCTACACGCACAGAAAACAAAATAATAGGCAAATCCGACTCCAAAACAAGACTCAAGGACACGAGGATGATTAGCGCGTAAAGTTGTCAGGCAAAAGCCGTGATCATTTATTTCTCGCAGTGTTGCCCTATTTCCTCTAGAGCGCCCTAAATGTAAGTGACTCGCGGGTTATGGGCCTTGCGGCTGGCCGTAGGCCGCAGCACCTCGCCGCAGATTATACAACGACTCTGCCGATAGCGAGTGTGCGCCCCTCCACCTCCCGCACCGCGTACTCGGACTCGAGCAGCGGGGAGACGTCGCACCCGCGACCGCCGAACCGCCCGCGAGGGAGCCGAGGGAGGCCCTCTCAAGTGGCCCATTCCGACAACAACAAAAACGACACTTCAGCGAGCAGGGAAGGCCGCGCCGGAAAATTCCCCTATCATAGCCAAACTAGCTGGAACTTTAAAGTCGCAGAGTACATGTCGGGCTGCACGCGCTGTGCCGAGTACAGCCTACACAGTCCGCCCTGCAGACCACTAACGTACGTGCACCGCGTCCAGCGTGGTGGAAAGGTCCCAGCCACATCAGATCGCTCGGAGCGGTCCACTCCACTGCTTTCGCCCTAGGGTCGCACAACTAGGGTCGCCCGCCCGGCCCGTGCAGGCAGGCCCCACCCACCCAATTCCCAGCTCATCATCCAATTCACCTTGAGAGCTAATGTTTCATTCGTCCACTTTATTCCCGTGCAGAGGGGTCTCTCTGTCTCCATCCTCCTCACGAGGGGACCATCCTCACCCTCATCAGCAGCGCTCGGCACAGACCGCCCGGGAGGTAGGCAAAGGCAGCATGCGCGTGCGCGCGCGCGCGGCGGGCGGCCTACCCCAGCCTTCGCAGGCGCGCAAGGTCAACAGGCGGAATTTTAATTTTCCAACAAAATATTTTTGGGAATTTTTTCAAGGATTTTTAGTAAATGTCTGAGTTTTTCCTCACAAGTTTAATTTTTCCCAATTTTTTTTTCCTAGAAATATTTTGTATTTTTCAATTTTTTCCAGGAAAATGTCGGACCTTAAAATTCCTTGAGGAGGCGGGGCAAGAGCGCCGGCCTCCGGGCTCCTCCGCACCACCGGGATGTAGGTGACCAAGGGCGCGCGCGCCCGCGGTCCACCACCCCGGCACGCTGGGCTGGGCCTTGGCTGGGCTGGCCCGCCGCCAGGGATAAGACCAAGACCATTGTGCGCTTGTTTGGATCCTCTTTAGGCAGGGCGCGTGTTTTCGCGTGCGCTGTCCACGTGCTGGCGCGTCTATCTGTGTGTGTGTGTGTGTGTGTGTGTGTGTGTGTGTGTGTGTAACTGAGTACGTGTGTGTGTGTGAGGTGTGTGTGTGTGTTTGTGAGTGAGTGTTTTTCGCAGTCCCCGTGGCAGCTTCACAAAAGCCCGTCGCGTCGCTCGGCTGACACGCGATTATTCTTCACAGAGCTTCACAAGCGGCAGCAGCAGCAGCTAGGACCTCCACAGCACCATCCTCATAATAAAAATTTACTTGACCGCCCAGCCTATGGTGAAGTCCGAGTGAGAGAGAGAGGTGTGGACGAGGAGGGGGTGGTAGTGGTGGCGCACGCCCGGGGCAGGCACCCGCCACGCACCGGCCACGCACCCGCGGCCGGCCGCGCGCCAGAAGGCGCAGTCCTGCCAACGGCCTGTAAGAAGCGCTTCCTGGCCGAAAGCGACGCGAACGACGAACCCAAAGCGCGCGCCCAGCAACAACACACGCCGTCACAGGTTGCTACCAGGACACGACCTCCGCCAAAACAAAATCCTGGGCGCACGGGCCGGTATTGGTGGGCATGGTGGTGGGGTGAGCTAGGCGGGGAGGGATCGTTAGAGAGCGTTTTATTGTGTCGGGGCGAGCGAGTGCGGCCGTAAATGTAAGCGGAATAAGGAAGGCGGCAGGCGACGAGATAACAGCCCCTCCTGCCCCTCCTCTGCCCGTTACTTTTAGGTTTCGGCTCCCTCCCCATTCACCCCCTCCCCTCTCGAGCCACAACAGCCCGCTGACACACAGTTATCCATGCATATGTATGTGTGTACACCTTTGGTGTGAGCGTGGCACAGGCAACCGATAGAGGAAAAATAAAAGCAACGCCGTGCATGTGTGTGTGTGTGTGTGTGTGTGTGTGTGTGTGCGTGAGTGTAATGGCAGAGGACACCACAGCAAGGTCGCCAAGGTCACAGTCAAGGTCGGGCGTGCTGGGCCGGGCTGCACCTGTACACGCGGCTATAGCCCGCGCGGGGCAGGTCTCTCTGCCGCGGCCCGCGGCCGCGCGGACAATAGAGTGGAGGAGCGAGAGAGTGTGAGTAAAGAGAGCACAAGGTGAGGAGGACCCGCGACACAGGGCCGGTGCCGGTCGGTGGTGCCGCCTGCTCCGCGCGCGCAGCCACTCGGACGCAAATAGCACCGGCCGCTGGGCGCAACGCCCCTGCTGCTGCTGCTGTTGCTGCTGCTGCTGCTCAGCGGGCAGGGAAGGGGAAGGGAAGTCCCGCGCAGTGCACAAAACGCACCGGCACAAAGACACAGCCCCGCGCGGCACGCGCCGCTACGCCGCCCCCCCCCCCCCCCCAATAAACATGTCAACAACTTTGATAGTTGAATCGATTAGTATGATGGCATTTTATCTATGCAGATGATTGATTGGTTTTATCATTAACTTGACATCATGGTCTGCTTTCGACCAATCAATAGTCACAGCAGTGATTGTGATTAATGCCACGTGCAGCAGCGAATAACTCTGATGTAGTCTCGATGCTGCCATATAATGGTCGCAATTCTGACGCCCGAACTATGGGGGACGCTACAGTTAGAGGCCGGCGGTGTGGCTCCGCGGGGGCGAGGCGCCGATGTTGTTGACGCCGCTCCTCTCGGGCCCCGGCTCGTCTAGGCAACCAGGAAGAATACATAACAAGCCGTCAGACGTGTCTGCGACATTATCAGGACCTAGCGAGCAGGGCGGCGCGGTGGAGGCGCGGCCGAGCGCGCTGGTACACGGCGTGCTCAAAGAGGTGAACAGCCGGGATGGATTTATTTCTGCGACAACCGGAGAAGTCGGTACGATGAGACGACATGTGTAGCTTCTTACGTTTGTTCGCGTGAAGTTCAAAGTCCTGACCAATGCGACATGAGACGTGCTGCTATGCTCTGCTCGCGTGCACCGTTTGCAATCGGGAAGCGAGTGAGTCAGCGGAGGCGCGGCAAGTCGGACGCTCGATAGGGACCGTCGTGGAGATGGCACGGGCGTGCGCGTGCACGGAAACCGAGTATGCGCGTCACCCTCGCCTTCGGGAAGCACCATCAGGTACACCACCGGGCGCGCGCACCGGCATACACATGACGAGTACGGCCCGGCCCGGCCCCGGCCCGGCCCCGGCCCGGGGCAGACTCCACACAGCTAGTAACAGCTGAGCGGAGATGATAGCCGTCAAGGTCACCGCCAAACCCGTCCCGCCGCGCCCACCCGGCTGGCTGTAGCTATAGCTGTAGCGGGCGGGCGGGCGGGCGGGGGGCTCAAGTCAGCCTGGCCCAGCTGCTGGACGAGTCGTCGCGCCGGGCCACCAGCTGGACAGCTTCGAGACGATCTATTTTTCAGGTCACGTGTTCCTATTCGACTTGTTCTGAACCCCAGTGGTGGTGACGTTGGAACGTCGGAGGGATTCGGATGGAAAAGCCGTATATACAACAGTTCCCAACGCAGTGTGTCGCGTCCGTCTCGTCCTTTCGGGGGGGATCATGGAGGATGAATCGGCGAATGGGAACTGAGAAAATTGAGAAGAAGTAGACGGGGAGAGGGGGGGGGGATCAGCTGAGACGTCTTGGCGTGGAGCGACTGGTATAAATTTAGATTCTCTCCACGCGTAAACTCGGCGCCACGCCCGGGAGGAGCGCAAGATTCACGCGAACAGGGAATAAGACGTATGGCGGATTAGGACTTTGTCACGCTTACTGTACGCGCGCCGACGTCTGGCGTCGGGGCCGTGGTGGTGGGCTGGAGGTTGCCCGAGAACCGTATCCACGTTGCGCCTGCGTCCGCGACCCCACCAGGGTTGCCCAGCGCCACGGTGGTGGGAGGGGCACTAGCAGTTCTACGGGCCCGATTAGAGCAAATTTGCGTTAGTACAATGTTTTAAAACAAAGCCTTCAAGCCGACCCAAACGTTTAAAAATTTACAATTTTATACTGTTGTTAAATTATTATGCATTATTTGTAGCAGAGTAGACGTCTAGCTCGACACCCGGCCCTTTAGACGGCCTTCCGATAAACGGGCACAAGGTTGGCGGGGCGACGCGGTGCGTGGAGCTCCAAGGGATGACGAGAATATATATTTCTTCTCGTTGACGCCGCCGCCCTCCGCCCTCCCTTCCTCCTCCTCCCTGTGCGCTTCTCATCTCGCCCAGGTGTCGGTGTC